CAGTGAACAATATCAACATCATCGACACAGCTGAGGCAAGTGAGAGAGTGAGTACCCTTAGTGGCAGATGGGTCGACTAGGGGCGCCTCACAAACTCGCTAGATCACGGGCAGTCTTTTTCTTAGATTATTTCCTTTGATTCTTAGATACAGGTAAAATGGTACAGGTATGTCATTATCTCCTCAGGTGAGCTCGTTCTAACCATGGTCAAGGAAGTAGGGGAGGCGGCGGTGGTGGTGGTTATTGTAAAGGAGGTAGTGTAGGTGGTTGTGAGGCAGGTGTAGTGGATGGGATCGGTGGTATGAGGGAGGTGAGTCTGGGGAAGTGGTTAGGTGGGTGAGACTGTGGAGTGTGGTGTGACAGGTAAAATGCGTGTGGGGAGGAGTGTATGGCCTTACCCTCCTTCCACCTTCTCTCCCTCCCTCCCACCTTTTCTCACCCTCCCTCCCCCACCCCCTCCCTCTCTCCACTTTCTCTTCATACCACCCTCTCTTTCACCCTCCCTCTTCTCCCCAACTATTCCGCCCTTTCCTCCCTCGCTCTGTCGCCCAAATCCCACCCATCCTTCCCTCCCCCTCCTTAATGTCCTCAATTCTTCCTCTCTCCTTCCCATCCTCACCATTTCTTCCCTCCCTCTCCTTCTTCCTTCCTTCCTTCCCACCGTAAATCCTCTTAGTCTTCCTCCCTTCCTCCCTACTTTAACGCCTCTCTCCTCCGTAATCCATACCCTCCTCCCCCTCCCTCCTCCCTCCTCCCCCTCCCCCTCCCCTCCCTAAGAATGTAGAATATGCCGTCTTATTAAACTCATGGACACCAATCTGTCATTCTCCATCCTTTTATTACATCTTTCCCTTGGGCATTTTCTTCATTCCTTTATTTTAGTATTATTTTTTATTCGTATTTTTTTACATTATATTTTATCAATTATCAACCTTTTGTTATTGTCTGTTTATTTTTTTAGTTGGTTCTTTGTAAAACTTTTTAATCACTTTTTTTTACTTTCTTTTATTTGTGTATATTTTATCCTCTCGCTACAGTATATTTGATTTCATATTTATTTTAGATATATTTTCATCTTGCTGTCTGGTATACATTTTATTTATTAATTACCGTATACATATATTAAGAGTGTGTGTGTGTGTGTGTGTAATAATAATAATAATAATAATAATTAACGGTTTATTGAAAAAGTTCTGCAGCCCGAAGGCTGAAAATATACATTGGGCATAAATGACTTATTACATACATTGGTGGTTTAACAAAAGCCTTCATTAGAGAAAGGTAAAGGAACATACAGTGAACATACAGATTAATGAAGGTGTTGAACATAAAAACGTAGTGTAGTAACTCCTCCCAGATGGTGTTAGGAGGGACCTCACGTGGGTAGTAGTTCCTCACAGATGGTGTTATGAGGGGCCTCACGTGGTGTAGTAATTCCCTCAAGATGGTGTTATGAGGCCTCGTGGTGTAGTAATTCCCTCAAGATGGTGTTATGAGGGGCCTCACGTGGTGTAGTAATTCCCTCACAGATGGTGTTATGAGGGCCTCACGTGGTGTAGTAATTCCCTCAAGATGGTGTTATGAGGGCCTCACGTGGTGTAGTAATTTCCTAGATGGTGTATGAGGGGCCTCACGTTGGTGTAGTAATTCCCTCACAGATGGTGTTATGAGGGGCCTCACGTGGTGTAATTCCCTCACATATGGTGTTATGAGGGGCCTCGTGGTGTAGTAACTCCTTCACATATGGTGTTATGAGGGGCCTCACGTGGTAGTGAATTCTCTCACAGATGGTGTTATATGAGTGAGGTGTGGTTCCAGGCCTTCCTATCGTAGACGGATTAACACACATCGCTGGTAGTTGGGTCTCACATGCCGTTATCACTGGGTACCTGGGACCTCACTGTGTGAAAGGTGTTGTGTGTGTGTGTGTGTGTGTGTGTGTGTGTGTGTGTGTGTGTGTGTGTGTGTAGCATCCTCTCTTCTAAGTCAGTGTACACACGACCTTACTAAGTAAACACTACACTGTTATATTTTCAGTCGTTAAAGTTTACACAAGCACACTGCCGGAGATGATGGATGGATGGATGATTATGTTGGTTGGTTGGGTGGAGGGATGGATGGATGGATGGATGGATTGATGGAAGAATTGATGTGTAAATAGACGTATAGATTAATAGATGAATATATAAACATAGATAAACTCTGGGTTACCTGGGCGAGAGATGGTGTTAAAGGCTCGTAGTAATTGGGTCGATAGGTAAGACTTGAGGTTGGAGGGTGACGTAGGTAAGACTTGAGGTTGGAGGGTGAAGGAGGTAAGACTTGAAGTTGGAGGGTGAATGGAAATGGGTAAGACGAGGTTTAAGGGTAGTACTTGGGTAAAGAGGTAAGACTCGAGGTTGGAGAGTGAAAGTGTGGAGAATGAATGAAGACAAATAAAAGCGTATAGGGGTGAGGAGAGGGGGAAAGAAGAGGGAGAAGGGGTGTCTTCAGGTCTTTTAGCAGAGTTAGGGTGTGTGTGTGTGTGGGGAGGGGGCGGGCGGGGAGGAGATGGGAAAGTAAGGTGTGTATGTATGGTTGTGTGCGCGCGTTGGTGGGAAGGAGAGAGGAAGTGAGGGGAGAGGAATGGTGATGAGGAGTGATGGAGGACGGTAGGGGTGATGAGGAGGCGTATTGGGAAGACCACAGAGTGAGGGGAGGAGGAGGGGAAGGAGGGACGAGGTTTTGATACAGGTGAGGGCGGGGTAACAGGAATGAGAGGAGGGGGGATGAAAGGAAAGAGAGGAAAAGTGGAAATGGGAGGATGAGAAAGAAGAGGGCGTTTTGAAGGAGAAAAGAGATAGGGAGGGGAGGCTCGGAGAGGGAGGGAAATGGGCTTGGAGAGATGAGAGATTGTGGAGGAAGAAGAAGAGAGAGAGAGAGATGGAAAAAGAAGAGGTCGGTGAAGAAGAAAATATGTTGGGGGACAGGAAAAGGCGTGGGAGGGAGGTAGAGAAAAGGTCGGAGGGAAAGGAAAGGGAGAGAAAGAAAGAAGAGAGAGAAAAAGATGAGGCAGGAGTAAGGGGAAAAATATACCTGCTGGATAGGAAGGAGAAAAAGAGAGGAGAAGGGCGGCTGAGTAGAGGGAAAATTGGGTCATAAGAGAATGGGGGAGAAGAGAAGAGATGAGAGGGAAGAGAGAATGAGTGAGAGGAAATGTGAAAAAAAAAGATAATAGGTGTGGAAGATGAGGGAGGCAGACTAGGATAAGATGGGAGGGTGTTGAGGTGTAGAGGGGAAGTGCCAGGTTGAGACACGTTACTATCAGGCGGCACTCTGTAGGCGCCATGTATCACACAACCCACCTGACCCTTCCCTTAGTGTCGCTTTTTTTTTTCGTCACTACATATTTTTTTTGGTGTGTTGAACATGTCTATCCACAGTATGAACAAAACTGAACATGTTCCCTTAAGGTTTCTTTGGAGTTTAGGTTTTGGTGTTGAACTTTTCTGCCCAAAGTATGAACATAAATTCTATAAGATTGTTTTTTATTGCAGTTCTCATGTGTTCAATTCTAACCCCAGTGTGTGTATAAAGCCCCATGAGAGTTAGGCCTATATCTCCTCCTGAGTTTAGGTAGTGTTAGCCTCTGTCTGTGTTGACCTGTTCCCCACACAGGCATTGAACACATAGCTAACCTTTTACCACCGTTGACCTACTCCATAGATTCTCGTTTTTTGACATAATTGAAACTTTGTGTTGAACTTTTTTCTACAATAACAGAGAACAGATTCCTCCCGGACACTCCATTAGTCTTGATTTTTGACACTACCGACATCATTTTTTGTATGTGTGTTGAACTCTGTGAACATGTGCCCCGTGTGATTCTCTATGTCCCCTCTCTGGTTTTTGTATTGAACTTTCCTACCCAGAGTGTGAAGAATTTCTGTTACTTTTGTGCGTGTGTGAGTGGCTGTAGTGTCCAAGTCCTCTTTTGTGATGAGTATTTTTCTCAATAGACTGTGACCGTATGAGTATTTCTGTCAGCTTTCCTTCTCGTCTTCATTAGTTGGTTATTGGTGTCAGTGGCTGAATGAGTATTTCTATCACGTGTTCTTGGTTGAGTCGTAAGTTGAGTGAATATGGTGAAGACTTCATCACATCTCTACCCAGTAACTACTATAGTCATTGTAGAGCATCCCGCCCTTGATTCTTGAAGATTTCAGTGGTAATTTTTATAGAAGTGAGAGCATCTGTATAGCAATACGTACGTAAGTTACCACACATATCAAGATGGCGTTGATATGTCACATAGACTCGATTGTAAGTAGATAGTAATTCCTTCTTTAACCCTCTCAGTGCTGGGAGTGTTCTCTTAGCTGGACACTGAACGGGTTAAGGGAAAAACGATCTTGGGAATAGACTTGGTTCCTGGGATGGTTATATAAGACGCCTGTGGCTTAGAGAGGGAATATGAGCGAAGCAACGAACGACTTCATTAATTCCGCCAAGTAGAGGATATTTTGTGTCGCTTCTGGCAGCGGTGGTGCAGTGTAGGCGTGGCGTAACGGGGGCGGGGCGTTGATGTTACGGTTTATGGCTCTAGAATAAATAATGGCGTCATCAGTGAAACCTAGAATTAAGTACCGTTGATTTAATACCTGGTACACCGTCCAGGAAGTAACTATGACAACCATAACCAACATACCGACTAATATATGTCTACCTGGTACTCTACCTCCAGCAGTGCTTGAATCAGCGTTGTGCATACTGGTACTGCTGTGAGTGTGAGGGAAATCAGAACTTAAAGTGTATACTCGTATTATTTTGAGCTCCTCAATTCGTTACCAACTGAAGCGTCAGTGAAGTCACCACCACCACTAAGGGCACCACTATTATCACCACCACCACTACTGCTGCTACTGCCACCATCACCAGTACTGCAACTTTCCTCCCTCAGGCAGCAACAGAGTTCATCAAACACCCTATTATTCCTTACTCATACGTCTCCTTAATTACAGCACAGAGTGACTTAGTGCCCGACGATTTACGTGTAAAGAGCGTGTATGGTGAAGAACAAACACGGTCTTCCGTAGAGCATAACCTTGTGGGCAATACCACCCGGATTATGGACTTTACTGTGTATGCGTAGTGAGCGTGTCCCAACGCTTCGTGCTGGAATATTATAAGAATAGCAGGGAAATCCATGACCGTGTGATCCGAGCCCTTGGAAACTTTCTGGCTCCGGTAGGTTTCTCCTAAAAAGGATTTTCAACCGAGGATCCTCATCCTAGGAACTGAAATGCTTCACCTCCGCCTCGGTTGTCCTGTATAAACAAAAGACAATGTGAGGAATTACAGTCTCGCTTTTTGGTTTCTAGTCTAGTGTAAGACGACCCGTTGAGAAGAACCTACTGTTTGTGTCGTCAAGGTGGTGAGGCCAAGTGAGTGTTGTGGTGTTGTGTCATGTGTCAGCTGGCGGGTGACACGCCACTAGTGTCATGCAGCTGTACCAGCTGATCCCAGGAGCGCCATGAGGAGTATCATACGATTATGGGCGTGGGTGTGGGCGGCGTGGGCGTACTTCCACGCCTTCCTGCCATGCCACGCCCTCGCCGAACCCAAGGCCGCCGTGTTTGGAGGAGTCCCTATCATCGACGAAAAAGGTGAGTGGATTTATTGTTAGTTGTTTCTGAACTTTCTTGGTTGTTTATATTTGTTGTGGTGGAGCTGAGTATTGTGGCATCTCGGTGACACTGATGGCTATCATTAGGCCAGCCGAGCAGATTTATTTGACGCGATGACCACCTATAAGCTCATGTGACGTGTGTAAATGTATGTAGATGCAAGGCTGGGCTGGTGGTGCTGCTGGTGTGTGGTTATCCCTGAGTATAATGATACATCTGGTGCTTCTCCTGGGACCTCCATTATCATACTATCCAGTCCTTCACTCTCCGAAGGTGCTGGAGGGTGCCGCTGCCTCCTGTAGTCCGTCACTCACTGGAGGGGGGCAGTGACGCTAGATGTTACCCTATACAAGTAGTGGAGTCAAGCATCCACAGGAGAGGATAGCACTCATCAGCATCTTAGCTAGGACTGGTCAAGAGAAGAGCGGGTCAGCGTCCTGGGGTGATCACTGGTCAATACTAATCAATGGCCGGGCCTTCCCCTCGCCAGCTTGGGATAATGAGGGATTTTACGTATTGTAACGCTGGCACCAATTGTGTGAAGTAATTAGTGGCAGATAGGCTAAGGCTGTAGGGGTGAGGGATGGGTGTGGGGTTGGTCCTGGGTGGGCTAGAGTGTCCTGAGGGGGTGTGGGTTGAGGGTTAGAAATAGGAGTGGGCAGATTCTCGGCAAAGGTACCCCGGGTATTGGTAGGATTGAAACCCTACATATCAAGGTGCTGGGGCGGGTCAGTTGGGCATTGATTCAGAAATTTGTTCACAGACTTGTCGAATATTTTACCCTCTTGAGTAGAAAAATCTAATTAAAAGCAGGAAAAGACGATATATCCTCCCAATTACATGATCATACTAAATTTAAAGATATAAATCCATATAAGAAATATAAATCATATTAAAATAAAGTTGTATTGTATACAAAAATACTCCAAGTAATAAAAAAAAATCTTCCTAGTCACATGATGGCGATGCAGGTGACCACGAGGAGTGTTAACGCCTGTACTACACTTTCTTTATCACCTCATGAACTGCTCTCCCTGTGAAAGTCTCGATGAAAGTAACCAAGACTCTCCCTCCCTCCACCATGAAGACAGGCAGCTTCCTCCCTCACACACCCAACAATTTTTTTGGTGTGTGTGTTATTTACACCACGAGACATTTTTGGTGCCCAGATGAGGAGAATGAACTGAGGCAATTTTCCAGGCGCGATCTTCCCCTCTCACAAAATTCATATTCTTGCCAGGAGTGAAATATGATAGAAAGGAGACCACAGCCTTCTCAAACCTCCCTCCCACTCCTTCTCTTCAACCCTCCCTCCCCCTTCCATCCCTCCCCGTCCCTCCCTCCCTCCCACCCCTTTTCTCCCTCTTTCCCTCTCTCCCCCCACTTTTACCCTCCCCTCCTGCTCCCTCATCACTCCCACCTTCCCATTCCCCCCCCCTCCCTCCTACTTCTCCTTCCCTCCCTCTCCCCTCCCTCCTCTCCCCCTCTTTCTTACCCCCTCTTTCCCTTCCCTTCTCTCCCTCCTTCTCTCCCTCCCTCCTCCCCCTCCCCCCTCCCTCCCCTCCTCCCCCTCCCCTCCTCCCCTCCCCCTCCTCCCCCTCCCCCCTCCTCCCCCCTCCCTCCCCCCTCCCTCCCCTCCTCCCCCCCTCCCCTCTTCCCCCCTCCCCTCCCCTCCCGTTCTCTACCTCCCTCCCCTCCTTCTCTGCTCCCTCCCTCCCGTTCTCTACCTCCCTCCCTCCCTCCGTTCTCTACCTTCCCTCCCACCCTTCTCTGCCCCTCTTCACCCTTCTCTACCCCTCTCCCACCCCTTCTCTACCCTCTCCCACCCCTTCTCTACCCCTCTTCCACCCCTTCTCTACCCCTCTCCCACCCCTTATACCCCTCTTCCACCCTTCTCTACCCCTCTTCCACCCCTTCTCTACCCCTCTCCCCTTCTCTCCCTTCCCTCCCACCCACGCCCTTCACTTCATATCTCCCGTATATTTTCTAAGTGGTGTAGTTCTATATTTCAACATAAGAACGGCAATTACTTTCCGGCAGAGCCATTAAAGTGTCCCTTCAATAGGGCCATTCGCCGAGCTGGTAACACTGGCCATGCGTCAACGCCGTGGACCTTCTCTCTGCTGTACCTACTGCTGTACTAACTAGCACTTACTGCTACATTTACTAGCCTTAACTAGCCTCTGTTCTTCCTCCCCTTGTACTCCCCTTACCTCCCTTTTCTCTCTCTTTCCTCCACCTACTCCTTGCCTTCGAGATTGCATAGCGTATGTACCTTCCTTCCTTCCTTCCTTCCTTCCTCTCCTTCCTTCTTCCTTCCTTTCTTCCTTCCTTCCTCCCCTCCTCCCTCCTCCTCCCTCCCTCCTGGAGTCCACGGCTCCTATCAGCTCCTCCCTCCAGACAGGATGATACAGTAGGCGTTAATACTCCACCAGGATGCTACACTAGGCGTTAATACTCCACCAGGATGATACACTGGGCGTTAATACTCCACCAGGATGATACACTGGGCGTTAATACCCCACCGGGATGACAGACTAGGCGTTAAACTCCACAGGATGATACACTAGGCGTTAATACCCCACCGGGATGATACACTGAGCGTTAATACCCACTAGGATGATACAGTAGCGTTAATACCCCCACCAGGATGATACACTGAGCGTTAATGCCCCACTAGGATGATACAGTAGCGTTAATGCCCACTGGGATGATACAGTAAGCGTTAATACCCCACTAGGATGATACAGTAGCGTTAATACCCACTAGGATGATACAGTAGCGTTAATACCCCACTAGGATGATACAGTAGCGTTAATACCCCACTAGGATGATACAGTAAGCGTTAATACACTAGGATGATACAGTAAGCGTTAAAGCCCACTAGGATGATACAGTAAGCGTTAATACCCCACTAGGATGATACAGTAGCGTTAATACCACTAGGATGATACGCACTAAGCGTTAATACCCCACCAGGATGATACACTAGCGTTAATACCCCACTAGGATGATACGGTAAGCGTTATTCCTCGACTAGGATGATACACTAGCGTTAATGCTCCACTAGGATGATACAGTAGCGTTAATACCCCACTAAGATGATACACTAAGCGTTAATACCCACTAAGATGATACACTAGCGTTAATACCCCACTGGGATGATGATACACTAAGCGTTAATACCCCACCAGGATGATACACTAAGCGTTAATGCCCCACCGGGATGATACACTAAGCGTTAATACCCCACCGGGATGATACGGTAGCGTTAATACCCCACTAGGATGATACAGTAGCGTTAATGCCCCACTAGGATGATACACTGACGTTAATACTCCACTAGGATGATACACAAGCGTTAATACCCCACTGGGATGATACACTGAGCGTTAATACCCACTAGGATGATACACTAAGCGTTAATACCGCACTGGATGATACGGTGGCGTTAATGCCCCACTGGATGATACACTAAGCGTTAATGCCCCTAGGATGATACACTGAGCGTTAATACCCCACTAGGATGATACACTAAGCGTTAATACCCCACTAGGATGATACAGTAAGCGTTAATACCCCACCTAGGATGATACACTGAGCGTTAATACTCCACTAGGATGATACAGTAAGCGTTATCCCACTAGGATGATACACTAAGCGTTAATACCCCACTAGGATGATACACTGAGCGTTAATGCCCACTAGGATGATGGTAGCGTTAATGCTCACTAGGATGATACACTAGCGTTAATACCACTAGGATGATACACTGAGCGTTAAT